GGCCAAGATGTCTAAACTTCATCTCTCATACTTTGGACATATTGTCAGGAGGGAACAGTCGCTGGAGAAGGATGTCATGCTGGATAAGGTGGAGGGTCAGAGAAAAAGAGGAAGACCCCCAACGAGATGGATTTGCCAGGTGGCATCATTGATGGGCTCAAGTGTGGCAGCGATAGTGAGGCTGGCCCAGGATCAGACATTGTTTCATTCTGCTGTGCATGGGGTCACTATGAGTCGGTTCCGACTCGATGGCACCTGACAACAACAACATCCACCATTTTATAGTTCTTAAAACCTTGGCAAGGACTTCCAGCAGATGGCAGACTATGCAGAAACATATACAGACCCTCTACAACAAAGATTGTTTTGTTGTTAAATGTGTTGAGTCATTTCTGACCCATAGCAACCCTGTATAGGGTTTCCAAGGAGCAGCTGATGAGCTTGAATCACTAACCTTGTGGCTCAAACGACTTTGCAGTCCAGCGCATTAGCCCACAGCACTATACCAGGACTCCACGAAGATACAGGAGACCAAAAGAAGCAGACTCAGAGGACTATCCTAGAACCCTAACTTCAGAGGAAAGGTTAGAGAAGTGGATCGAATACCTACTGGGAGGAGAAGCTGAGCAGAGGCAGCAAAAGGAGACTAGTGAACAGACTGCCAGCTAGACACAACATAGCCATCATGAACTTTTGTGAGCACAGATAGTGGCCACTTGACAGCGCAGATTTGATGGAAATGGTGCGACTCCTTCTGCCCCCTACCCTCATCCACCCCCAGTACAGACCCTGCTCTCAGGGAGATGAGAGCCTTGAGGTTTGAACCAGTGTGAGGCAGGTGTCCAATGCAACACCTTAGCACCTACCCACAGAGCCTGCAGACCAAAATACACTAGGAGGAAGTTAGCTCCAGCCACCCTCCTGTTCTGACACTGAAACTTGCATCATGAAGGGCCTCCACAAACTATTTCTGGATTGGGTTTCCTGAATGTAGCATGTAGCCCTACAGAAACTCCACCTGCCGCTGGGAACTCAGCCCTCACATCCATCATCCATCCACCTTGTGAGTTCCTTGGCTGGAACTCCCCAGAGTCTTCTCCTCTCTGGGTCCAACAACCGTACTGCTTCTTATTTTCCTTTCCTTATATTTTCATTTTGGAATTTATTTTATTCGTCTTCCTTTTTCCCTTCAATTTTTATCCTTTTTTTCTTCTTCTTCTCATTTCTACTTTTTTTTCTTTTGATTTTTCTTTACTAGTCTTTCTTTTCATCTTCCCTATTTTTTCTTTCTTCCTTTTCTAATTTTTCTCTTGTACAGTTCTATATTCCTGTCCCTCTTTTCTTTTTATACTTTTTTTTGTTGCTATCCATTTTTTTCTCCTTAATTATATAGATTTCACTGTTGTTTGCTTGTTAGGTTTTGTTTTCCTGTTTTCACCTCTTGCCCCACCCAACAGGAGACAGCAATTGTGCCCATACTACTAGCTCAGCCACACACATATCCTCTGTAGCTCTGCCCACTGGACAAGAGCCAATACCTACCTGCTCCTAGACCACCTGATCAACAATAGATGTCAGCCAACTTATGCCAAATCCACCCAAAACTAAGCTGTACAAACAGGAAAGGTAAACCGTACAGCATTTCCATTCTGTAATCACACTCACTGGGAAACAATTGGTAAAAGCCTAAGAACACATCAATATACAGTCATCAAATACAAAGACACCACCACAATGTCTCAGAGACAACAGATTTTTTAGCTCACCCAAAGAAACAAGGGAGTGTGGCTCAAACAAAATACCAAAATGCAGAGCAAGAAAGTGTTTGAGTAAGGTAATGGAACTAACTGAAAAATAATTTAAAATAATGATATTTAGGTACTTTCAAAGGATTGACAAAAAGATCAGGGAAAGCAAGAACACAGAAAAACTTTAGAAGAATTTAGGGAAACACTACAAAGGCAAGCAGACAAAATAAATGCAAATTTTAAACACTATAAAACCTGAAATTAGAAATCCATATTTCAGAAGAAATCTCAGAAATGGGCAGTACATTGAAAAGACAAAGTTGCAGATTTGAATCAATTGAAACCTGAATTAGTGACTTTGAAGATGAATCACTCAATACTAATAAGCTAGAAGAACAATCTGAAAACAGAATGAACAAATTGGAAGCAAGTCTCACATTTATGTGGGACACCTAGAAAAGGAATAACTTATAGGTGACTGAAATTCCAGAACAGAAACAATAAAAAAGAACAGAGAAAATTGTCAAAAGCGTTGCTTAAAGAAAACGTCCTGAATCTGAAATATAAGATAGCATTCAAATAGTTGAGCAAACTCCAAACTAGACCACAAAAGAAAATCACAATGACATATTATAATCAAACTTCCCAAAACCAGACAAGGAAAAAATTCTGAGAGCAGCTTTAGAAAAATGAAGAGTTATTTACAATAGTGAACCAATAAGAAGACTAAGCCCTGATTTCTCAGCAGAAACCATGAAGGAAAGTAGGCAAAGAGATGATACAAAACTCTGTAAGAAATTCCCAATCAAGAATCAACCCAGTAAAGCTGTCCCCTCAAGTACAATTGTGAAATCAGGACATTATCAGATGAACTCTAATAACCAGTCCAACTTTACCAAAATTACTAAAGGGTGTTCTTTGGACTGAGAACCAGCAGCAGTGGACAACGACCTAAGATTACCATTCATGACACTACCACCCAGAACTCAATCCAGATATAGAAGTACCCAAAGTAAAACAAACTTACGAGACTGAAAATAGGGAACCAGAGATATCAATTTATAATGAAGTCAACTACAAAGCAAAGAGAGAATATACTCCCACTCTTCCATCCCCATTCAGGCTGTGTCTGTCCATTTATCTACCTGCAGAACATTGTTGTTCCAAAGTTGTGTATGTAACACTACTTACCCTTTATCCCTTTAGCTGTTGCATGTCTTCATGTAACCCTTTATTACCCTCCTCTTGTATATTACCCATTTGGCCACATAAGGTAACATGTGTCTTCATGTGTCTTCCCTCTAAACAGTGATTACTCTCCCCTACCACCATTGGCAGCCATTAAAGAATGTTTCTTTTAGCATGAAAATCTTTTCTAGAGTTTTTACAACAGTGGTCTCATACAATATCTGTTCTTTTGTGATTGACTAATTTCACTCTGCATAATGTCCTCCAAGTTCATCATGCTATAAGGTGTTTCCCAGATTCATCGTTATTCTTCACCATTGCATAGTATTCCATTGTGTGTATGTACCAAAGTTTGTTCATCCATACTTCCACGGATGGGCATTTAGGTTGTCTCCATCTTTTTGCTATTGTGAATAGTGCTTCAGTAAACATAAGTATGCAAGTCTGCTCATGCCCTGACTCGTTCCTTTTGGATATATAACAAGTAGAGGGATTGCTTAGTCATACAGTATTTCTAGTTCCAACTTTCTGAGTAAGCAAAGTAGACATTTTTCACTAGTTAAGATAAACTACTGTTTGGTTTAAAGAAGGCTTCAGGGATAATTTTGGTTTATTGTTTCAGTGGATTCACCTACCTTCACGGCTCCAGAAAATCTAGAGTTCATGAGAATTTAAAAAATTTTCCCCTTTTGATCAGGATTCTTTTTTTTTTTTTAATGTTTTATTGTGAATTATGTGATAGTTCACATGGGAGAACATTAGTTTTACATTCATCCTATTGTATATCGTTTCATTGTCATGGTTACAATCCCCTCCATGCATCATCAACCAACACTACAAGCCTGCCCCCCAAGTCATCAGCACACAGCCCCTCTCCCTCTCTGTGTCTAAAGTCCCCAGCTGCTCCATCTCTCCATGTCATCATCTCTGCCTCCATCTCAGGCATAACTGCTTCTCGATAAGGATTCATTTATGGAAGCTTTGATCAAAATGTTCAGTGATGGTACAAAGCTATAATCTTTATGGAAGCAAACTGCCCCATCTTTCTCCCATGGAGTAGCTTAGCTGGTGGGTTCAAACCACCAAGCTTACTGTTAGCAGCCAAACAATTAACTACTGTGCCACACGGGTTCCTTAATGCCCAACACAGGGTAAACAGCTAAATACAGTTTTGTATAGGTAGAGGATAAATCTTACTTTTTTGTGATTTTCAAAGAACCTAATTGAAGAGCCCAAGGAAGCTGAGTTCTCAGGAGATTTAGAGCCTTTTAAATTCTGATTACTGAATACTGAGCATTACAGTCATTAGAAATTCAATAGAACCAGCAATAAAGTTTGCCTAGCAGTAGATTCTTAATGAGCTTGAAGAGGTTCTTCTAATTAAGAGTTCTAATAACTGTCACTAGTGAATGGCCACAAAAAGGCAATAAAGTACACATTGAGGGGTTTGTGTTTCAGGGAAAACAGTGGCAATTTCTGAAATAAGCTGTTGAAACAAACCAATGGGTTTTTAAGCAAATTGGTATAAATCAGAGAAACCTCTTGCTATCATATTATAGACAGTGGCCCGCCAAACACTTCAGCTAGTTTTCAAAGGTTTTAAACAAATTCCAAATAAATATCAAGCACAGTATTATGAAGTCTATTTATAAAATAAAGAATAGCTTTATTAATACAAAAAAAATACAGACAAACTATAAAGCACTAAGAAGCTTAAATATCGAAGTCATAGCAAGCAGGTGGCAGTTCAACATCCAAGGCTGACAGAATACTTGAAGGAGACTCCAAGAGACCTAGAAAACAGAATTTATTACATTTTATAAGTCCATGTCAACACTCATATAAACTGTCACTTGTAATCACTGTTGCTGTTTTTGGTGTTAAGTGCTGTCCAGTCAGTTCCAAATTATAGTGACCTTGTATAAGGTTTCCTAGGAGTGGCCAGGGGGGTGAACTATCAACCTTGCAGTCCAGTGCTTATCTTGCAACACCACACCAGGACTCTACTTTTAATCATAGATTCATGTTTTTCTCTAATGGGTCCCCTTATCCTCTCATGTGGCTGTGGCCCCAGAATTAACCTTCTTTAGGAAGAAGTCTTATAAGTAAGTACCTGAGCGTCTATTGCTCTTAAGAGATCCAGTGTCACTAACACTGTGAGCAATGGTCTCATTAACGTGATTTATAAACTAGTACAAGTTATTCCACTGAGTTTTGGTGTGCCACTGTAGGATAAGCACTGGACTGCCAACCACAAGGTCAGAGGTTCAAACGCACCAGCCACTTCTCTGAAACCTTATACAGTGTCACTATGATTCAGAACCACCTTGATGACATTTAACAACAACGAGTTATTCCCACAAAGTCAGGAAAAAGAAAGTAGAAAAAATACTAATGATGGTTTTGACTATATCAACACCTCAAACCTTGTGACATAAGAAAGTATTGTTATTTCACAAGCATTCTGGTCCTATGTTGTCCTTGGCTATAACTGTGTTTCTCATCCAGAGCAAGTTTATAATATATATAGCCTAAAACTACATATTAAATTTATTTGTAAGACAGTCTGGATTCCAGAATGACTTAATTTTATCTTAGCATTTGGGTCTTAAAGCAATCTCAATTGAGAATAGTTTTCATTATCCTGAAACCTTTTGAAGAACTGAAATTACTTATACACTAAAATTCTGCACAAATGTCTCCACTGTAATGGAAGTGTAGCGAAACAAATTGTTTGCAGTCTTTCTAGAAGGAAGGGCACTTATTCACTTACCAGACTCCCATGTCAGCAAGGGCATCTTCACAGGTGAGGGGGGACCCATGTCTAAGAGCTTTCCAAGTTCCCTCTCCTCATCGAGGATCATGAGAGGCACTCCATTCAAGGGGAGGTGTGCAATCTGGTGCTCTTCAGGTAGGTCAAAGCTCTCAAAATCTATTCCAAAGAGAAAGCATTTTGTTAGGGCAGCAGTTCTCATCATGGTCAGTAGGGCCCACTGGGGATCTGAGACACTTTCAATGCATCCGCGAGATTAAAAACTATTTTCGTATGTTTTCCAATGCGTTCGTTAATACTTACAACCATGGTGAAAAGCCAATGATAGACAAAATTGCTAGTGCCTTTGCACAAATAAAGGCAGTGGCAATAAACTAAATTAAGAGTGACTGTATTCTCCACCATTAACACACACACAGTGGAGCCCTGGTGTGGCACTGTGGGTTAATGCACCAGATTGCAAAGCCATTTGAACTGCAGGGTCGGTGGTTCAAGCTCACCAGATGCTCCTCGGAAACCCTATACAGGGTCAGTATGGGTCGAAACTGACTCAAAGGCACTTCACAACAATAACAACAACACACAGTTAAAAATATATATATATTAAAAGCACTTTACAGTTATGCAGTAAATATATGTTGTTGTTGTTACTAGTTTTATTCGCTCTTGATCCTTGAGAACATGTCTTTTTAATATTCTATGTGAAAAAATGAAAACAAGGATAAAGCATTTCTACTGCATTCTGAAGTAATATATTTGCCCCAAGGTAAAAGGATTTGTACAATTATTTGAATTGCAAGCTAAACTTAAGGCCCTTTCCTGGACACCGTTTTTACTGGAAAGAACAACTGGTTACTCAAGTACTTGTCACACATTTTCTCAAAGGAAGTGAAGTGGTCTATCATTTCCAGGAAAACTGAAAGCTGCCAAAGATATCGCTGAAAACTTAAAGAAAAAAAAATGAGATTTTGGGACACACATCTGCCACCATGGGTTCATAGTAACCTAATACTTCACCTGTTCTGATAAAATCAGAAGTGCTATTACCATGCTTTTGCAAAGCACGTACTTCAACATTTGGACCATCTGCGTATCTTAGTGAATCAACATTTCTAAACTATCAACACTTATAAAAAGCATAAAAGACCCATTTAAAATGAAACAGCAAGGGATTTTATTGTGAGAGTCCAAACGTTCACCAATCTGGTTTCTGACTCCATACTGCAACTCCACATACTTTACGAAGAGTCATTATCTGGTTTTAGTGTAGTATCTAAGAAAATAGCCACACACATCTAAAGAGTTCATATAATACTCTTCTCTTTCCTAATTCTATTTATCAGAGTGAGGTCATATTTTCTTCATCACAAAAACGAACTGCAAAGATTCAATGAAGAATTAGATGAAAATATAGCTATCTTGTAGTAAGACAAAATTTTTTAAATTTTTTGAATACAACACTATTTTCTCATTATTTTGAAAAGTAATTTTATCACTAAAAATTTCTGCTGATATACTAAATTTATTCATTTATTTATTGAGTTTATTCATTTATTTAAGATATTTTTCAAGTCTTCCAGTTTTAATTTTAATATAAGTACAGAAATAAAAATAGAACACACATAAATTTTGCAGGGTCCTCAATCAATTTAAGAGTTCACAGGGGTCATAAAAACAAAACACTTGAGAATCACTGTGTTAGGTAACATTCCTTCTTAAAATCCTAGCATTTTATTTCTTAGGAATTATTTAAAACAACCTATTTATCTTGATAGTAACATAATGATAACTTAAAACATTGAGCCTCTCTTCTTTTCAAGAAGGCTAAGTGTTTTCGCAAAAGGTTGATCCTCCACTTTCATTCACAGGAGATTGACCATTCTCTAAAGCCTAAGTATAGTAGGTCCCCAGGTTATGAATATCCTACTTACAGCATCTGTACTTGCCTGTAATGTCTTATAAATTTGCCCTTACTCTCAAACAACTGAACAAACCTCTACACACAACAAAGTCTTCATCACAAGTACTAGCATTTGCTGCATGTACTGCCTTTACATCATTATTTATTATACAAATACTAATAACCCCAAAAGGAGCTCTGGTAGCGTAGTAGCTACGAATCGGGCTGTGAACTGCAAGGTAAGCAGTTCGAAACTACCAGCTGTTCCGCAGGAGAAAGATGAGGCTTTCTGCTCCTGTAAAGATTTATAGCCTTGGAAACCCTGTACAGGGTCACTATGAGTCAGAACCGACTCCATGGCACATAACAACAACAACAATAGCCCCAAAGCCAGATCAAAACTGCTGCTGCCCAGATTTTGATTCACAGCAACCGTCTAAGACAGAGAAGAAGTGTCCCAGATGGTTTCCAAGGTTGTAATCTCTTTATGAAAGCAGACTGCCACATCTTTCTCCTGCTGGCTAGTATGTTTAAGCTGCCAATCTTTTCTGTAACAGCCAAGTGTTTTAACCACTGCACCACCAGGGCTCCCTCTTGAACTAAAAGTAAGGCTAAATAAAGCTGTGTGTATCTGTTCTGACTTATCTACAAATTCAACTTTTGAAGACCTAGGAATGAATCTAGCTCACCCAGGAACTGCCTGTTCTCAGTAATTAGTCTCTTTTCCAAGCTCAGTAAAACCCAGAAGTCAAAAAGAACTTAAGGGATATGCGGTCATCTAATTTAAAACCACTGAACTATAAAAGAAACCATAAATGCACAACAGACACCAAAACAAAAAGACTGCTGCAGAACAAGGTAATCATCAAATTTTATGCAAATAATCCAACAGGCTCTAGTGCACAGGCACACACAAAGAAATGTAAAACAATTGGATATCATTGCCCTTCTGACTAGTTTGAAGCTAGTGATCATGGGTCAAGCAAATATCTTCATCCACTGTAAGTGGGCTTAATGATTTACACTATTTGGAGGGCAACTTGGTGATATTTCTTTCCTTAAGCACAGCATATTGAGGTCCCTCCTTTTTGGTCAATCCACACAGATATATCTTATTTTCCTTAATGACTGAATGGAAATTACTAGCATGGATATATCACATTTTTTCAAAACATTCTGTCATAAACCCTCTGACTCATAATCCTTCCTGAAGTTTACTCTAGATATATTCACAAACTCACAATGTCACTTCAAGAATACTAATTGCAAAATTGCTTCTAATACATAAAAGCTGGAAAAACTGGAATGTTTATACATAAATACACATGGACCTCGCCAGATGGGACACATAGAAATCAAATTGACTACATCTGTGGAAAGAGAAGATGGAAAAGCTCCATATCATCAGTCAAAACAAGGCCAGGGACAGACTGGAACAGACCATCAATTACTCATATGCAAATTCGAACTGAAGCTGAAGAAAATGAAAACAAGTCCACGAGAGCCAAAATATGACCTTGAATTTATGGTATCTGAATTTAGAGACCATCTGAAGAACAGATTTGATGCAATAAATACTAAAGACCGAAGACCAGAAGAGTTGTGGGATGACATCAAGAACATCATATATGAAGAGAGCAAAAAGTCATTAAGAAGAGAGCAAAAAGTCATTAAGAAGAAAAGAAAGAAGGAAAAGATCAAAATGGATGTCAGAGAAGACTCTGAAACTTGCTCTCCAGTGTAGAAAAGCTAAAGCAAATAGAAGAATTGAAGAAGTCCAACAGCTGAACAGAAAATTTCAAAGATCAGCTCAAGAAGACAAAACCAGGTACTATAATAAAATATGCAAAGATTTGGAACTAGAAAACCAAAAGGGAAGAACACGGTCAGCATTTCTCAA